TCAAGTAGTTTTATTTGGACTCATGAAAGCATTAATTTCTAAACGTTTTCTCAATTCCCTTAAAAGTAATCAACAGATAACTTCAAGAGAAAATATCACTAATTCCTTGGGTGGATGTGGGAAGTGATGTATTCTGTTCCAGGATATGCTTGGGAATTACTTGGACATCAGGGCTTTCAGGTACAGAAACTTAAAACACTTTGCTATAAGATGCTCTGTAAGGTAGTTATGTCTTGCATGTAAAGACATGATAATGTAGCATTCAAAGAAGAGTTATGGAGATTTTTTCCTTTACAGTTGGGTTTCTTATTAGATAATTGCATTAGTTGAATGTTTGAAAAATAGTCTAGAAAAAACTGATACAGTTACCCAAGTTGTCAGTTATTCATTTTCTTATCATTATGTTATGTATATCTTTTTTCAGTTGGATATGTCAAGTGACCAGATAACTGCCAATCTGCAAGCTGCTATTAATGATGTTTGTAGCACAGACCACTGAGTTTGGGTAAGTGGTTTGCTGGGGTATACTTCTATAGCCCTGTGATACTTTAAAATGTTAAATATTCAGAAAACAATCAATTGACATACATAACAATAGCAACAATATTTCCAGGGATTAATAAATAAATTTAATTTCTCAAAGGATTCTACTTACTTTATTTATAAGTGTAGTTGTTTAGAGAGGAGACATCTGAACATTAAAGAGGAATACATCCTGAAACCTTTTAAATCCACTTTTTTCTACTATAATGATAAAGTTTGAAAGAACTGCAACGGATTGCTTTAAACATACAATGTTTAATAGAAACTGAAATCATTTATGAAATGACCTTGTGAAGCCAGACTTTTCACTTTGTCATTGCCACTAGCAGTTGTCTTTCTTAATCTTATTTTAGAAAAGAAAGGACGATTTTATTTTTTATTTCAGGAATTATGGGGGGGTACAAACATCTTGGTTATGTTATGACTTTGCCACAGCACACCCATGATTTGAGACGAGCCCTTCCGTCCTACAACGCTCAACACATCTATTAGTGTGAGTTTACCCACCTTAACCCTACCACAAAGAATATTACTGCTGTGTGAGCACTTAGTTTGGTCAGTCAGTGCCAGTTTGATGCCGAGTACCATGCAGTGCCTACTCTCCATTCTTGTGATACTCCACTTCAGAGGATGGGCCAAAGCTCTACACCTCAGGAAAGATATAAGAGGCTGCTATTCGCCATTGTTTTTATAATTGACAGTAGTATCCATTTGTATCATATACCTATATTTTATTAACAAGCTCATGGATGCGACAACCTTGGTTTTTCCCATTCTTGCTATAGCTGAATTGTGCTGCCATCGATATTCGAGTGCAGCATGTCTTATTATAAAGTGACTGTTGTCGTCATTTGGGTAGGTTCATAAATAGTGCTATGCTGGATCAATGGTATATACTTGTCAGCTCTCTTGGAGTATCTCCAAATTCTTTTCCAGAGAGAATTCGTTACTAATTTGCAGCTCCCAGCAGGTATAAGAGTGTCTACCTACTCCACATCCTCCAGTATTTTCTTTGGGATTGATAAAGTCAATCTTACTGAGTTAATATGTTCATTGTGTTGGATTGCATTTGCCTATAGATTGTTGAGCATTTTTCATATGTTTGGCTGGCCCCATTAGTCTTCTTCTTTTTGAAAAGTTCTGTTCATGTCCTTTGCCATTTATGAATGCGTCCCTCTGATTTGTTTTTCTTTGGTACATTGTAGGTATTAGTCTTTTGTCAGATGTATACTTTGCAAATATTTTCTCCCATTCTGCAGGTTGCCTGTGAACTCTGCTGAGTATTTTTTTTCTGTGCAGAAGCTTTTTAATTTAATTAAGTCCCATTTGTTTATTTTTGTTGTTGCTATCTTTGCCTTTGAGGTCTTAGTCATAAATTCTTTGCCTAGGCCTGTGTCTAGAAGACAAAACTTTTCATTCTGTAAGACTCAGCTTAGACATCACCTTGTGAAGCCTCGCCTATCAAAGTCAATCGCTTCTGTGGCCTTGTAGCACTTTGTGCATATAGTTAGGGTGGCGTTTGTCACATTGTATTTTAGTGACTAGATTGTAAACCTCTTGAAGACAAGGTTGTGTCTTACCTTTCTGTTCCTGGTTCCCAGTGTGTTGCTTGACAAAGAGTGGGGGGCTAAGTAAATGTGGCTAAATTGTGTGGTGTTAACATCTAAAAATTAGGAAGGTAGTAATGGAGTCATTAGTCAGAAAATTTCATATTTTTTACTCTTAAATGCATATTCTTTTCCTTTTAGTATTTCTCTTATTTTCCCTTTTTTCTCCCCTTAGTTTGCAGCAAACTCATTTTTGTTTTTTAGGCAGCCAATCCTTCATTTTCCATAAGGATCATCAACATTTAATAGCTGTGTCCAGGGTCACGAGCTAGTAAGTGGTGGAAGTGGAGTTCACATCCACATTTACCTACCCTAAATACTCAAGCAGATGGCTGCTGGGCTACTCCTGACCATGTGTGTTCTCTCGGAGAAGTTACAAAGTTTTCCAAATCTCAGTTTCTGTGTGTAAATAAGGGATAATAATACCTACTTCATAGGGTCCACGGGAGAAATGAATGAGAACATCAATGTAAACTCTTGGAACAGAGCTTGGCCCATAGTAACTACCCAGTAAACAGAGCTGCACACTCAATTCTTGTTATTACTGCTTTATGTCGTGTAGGAGACACACAGATTATCTTCCTTGGTTTTAGACTGTTAAGAGTCTTGGAGGTTAAGAGTATTGGCTCATCTGCAGAAACTGTCTGCCAGGCCCCACACTTTACACACTGTTAGAACATTGTATTTGGAAGGGGTTTTGGAGGTCAGGTGGTCTGACGAGTGCTTATCCAAAGCAGCAGTCCTCTCTGCTGTTCTTTCCAGTGAGAGGTGATTAGGTGCAGCATTTGCAGTGACAGAGCTGAGCACTTTAGAAGGAGCATATAATTGTTTAGAAATCATATATATGTACTTTGCTTTTTTTTTTTTTTAATTCTGTCCTCTCTATAATGTAAAAATGGTTTTTTCACACTGTAATCCTTAGTCCTCTAAAATCCATGAACAGACTTGCCTTTGTACTAATGGTTCTCAAAGTATGATGCAGGGATTGCTTTTAACTCAGATGTTTTCCTCAATAGTCTTTCTTCTCTCTTCCCCTTTCTTTTAAATCAGAGAATCCATGAAGATTCTGGTAGTGTCAGCTAAATTTTTTATGTGATTGCATGCTTTTTTTCTCAAGCAAGATTCAATGACCTAAAAAAGTTTAAGACTCACTGCCTTGGACATGCTTATGATTACATTTTGCTCTGAGATGAAATATATGCATCTCAAGGGGACAAAATGGTTAAGAACCACTGACTTTTATTTTTCTCATAATAGTAAGAAAGTTCTTGAAGACAGACTCTATTAGGAGTTGCATGGAAAAGGGAAAATCTGAGAGTTAAAGCAGAGATAGAGACATAGAGCTCACCTGTCTCCACCAAGCCACTACCCTGACATCTTTGCTAAACAAAGTCTTCCATCTAGTCTGCTTAGGGAATGATTTCTGATATAATAAGGGTTGCTAAGCAGAAAGTAGGATTCAGTAAAGCAGTCTTTTTTTGAAATCATCAATGCTTCAAAATGAGGAATAACTACTTTACCCTGCAGTGGACAATCATTTTACCTAAACATAGTATTGTGTCTCTTATATATTCAAATACATACATATGCATGCACACAAATACTATGCTTAACATAGTTCCATACCCCCTTCAAGATCAACCTCATTCCTGTTTTTTTTTCCTTCTATACCAAGTCACATGCTGTGCTATTGAGAATCCAATGAATGATATTCTCTCCTTAAAATAGTCATCCCTGCCTTCTTAAGACCACAAAATGTTATCGCATAGGAAGGGCAGGGTAACTGAGTTGTAGACAGAAAAGCTTGCAAGTGTTCCTTTCCTTTCCTGAGTTATCTCTGGATCATTGTCAGCTCAACTAAATTTCGTGTGCAAGTTTTGATGAAACTCATGCACACATTTTATTTTTGTATGTAGCTATCTTGTCATCAGCTTAATCATAATAATGCCCATAAAATGTGTAATTTTCCCACAGTTTTGCATAATATCTAAAATAAAAAGTAAAATGAAGTACTATGGCTATAAATATATTCTAAAATTTAGTAGAGGCATAGTATTATAGAGGTAGGTGCTAAAATTGAACTAAAGTATAAACTGTTTTTAAAATTTTTTATATTTTCAAAACATTAATAAAGTAATTGAAGGTATCCTAATAATGAAAGTTCCATGGGAAGTAATTGTTTTGCATTTAAATTGTTTTGCATATGTTGTCATTTTAGTTTGCTGTAGGAATGGCAAATGTATGGCTGCAGAAAGTATAGCTGTGAAAATCTGAGAAGTTCAGTATAATATAAATATAATAAAATATAATATATATAACAAATATAATAAAAGTGAGAATGTTCAGCATCCTGAGAATATCTCTGTGTCAGATGTGTACTATCTGAATGCATGTGGCAAGTAGTTTTATTTTGGACTCATGAAAGCATTAATTTCTAAACGTTTTCTCAATTTCCCTTAAAAGTAAATCAACAGATAACTTCAAGAGAAAATATCACTAATTCCTTGGAGTGGATGTGGGAAGTGATGTATTCTGTTCCAGGATATGCTTTGGGGAAATTACTTGGACATCAAGGGCTTTCAAGTACAGAAACTTAAAACACTTTGCTATGTATGGTAACACATATGCTCTGTAAGGTAGTTATGTCTTGGCATGTAAAGACATGATAATGTAGCATTCTAAAAGAAGAGTTATGGAGATTTTTTCCTTTACAGTTGGGTTTCTTATTAGATAATTTGCATTAGTTGAATGTTTGAAAAATAGTCTAGAAAAAATACTGATACAGTTACCCAAGTTGTACAGTATTCTCATTTTCTTATCATTTATGTTATGTATATCCTTTTCTTTCAGTTGGATATGTCAAGTGACCAGATAACTGCCAATCTGCAAGCTGTTATTAATGATGTTTGTAGGCACAGACCACTGAGTTTGGGTAAGTGGTTTGCTGGGGTAGACTTACCTATAGCCCTGTGATACTTTAAAAAATGTGAAATATTCAGAAAACAATCAAATTGACATACAAGTACAATAGCAACAATATTTCCAGGGATTAAATAAATAAAATTTAATTTCTCAAAGGATTTCTACTTACTTTATTTATAAGTGTAGTTGTTTAGAGAGGAGACATCTTGAACATTAAATAAGGAATACATCCTGAAACCTTTTAAATTCCCACATTTTTTCTACTATTAACTGTAATAAAGTTTGAAAGAAAACTGCAACTGATTGCTTTAAACATACAATGTTGTTAAATAGAAACTGAAATCATTTATGAAATGACCTTGTGAAGCCAGACTTTTCACTTTGTCATTGCCACTAGCAGTTGTCTTTCTTAATCTTATTTTAGAAAAGAAAGGAGGCTATTTTATTTTTTATTTCAGGAAATTATGGGGGGGG